TGCACCTTAGTCTCCAGAGAGACACCATTGCTCCCTTCCAATTTCCCTCACCCTCCCATCAAATTGCACAACCCCATAATTAATGTCCACCCCCCATCCTCATTCCTCTGCTTTCACCCTCCCCTGACCTTGGATCTTCATACTCATTCTACAATAATGGTTCTATATCATATTTGTCCTTGCGGGACTGAGTTCATAATGTTCTCCAGTCCCTCTGAAGTTGGGTAATTTACAAAATCATCACTCCTTCGTGCTGCATAGTGTTCCATTGTGTGAATGTACCATAATTTCTCAATCCATTCGATTGTGGTTGGACACCTGGGCTGTTTCCATGTTCTTGCTATGGTGAATCTTGCTTCTATGAACATTGCTGTACAGGTTTCCATTTGTGCCTCAGTTCTCATTTTCTCAGAGTATATTCTAAGCAGTGGAATATCTGGTTCATATGGAATTTCTATGTTCAGCTTTTTGAGGAAGTGCCAAACTGCCTTCCAGAATGGCTATACCATTTTGCAACCCCACCAACAATGTATGAGTTCCTTTCTCGCCACACCCTTTCCAACATTTATTAGTTGTGTCCTGTTAAACTTTGCCACTCTTACTGGAGTGAGATGATATCTCATTGTGGTTTTGATTTGCATCTCTTACGGCCAGTGATTTGGAACATTTCTTTATGTGTCTGTTTGCCATTAGAATATCTTCCTCTGAGAAGATTCTTTTTTATGTCTTTTGCCCATTTTGTAATTGGGTTATCAGTCTTTTTTTTTTTTAAGCCCAGGAATATTCTGTAAACTTTTGTTATGAGACTCTTGTTTGAGGTAGTATTGCCAAATGTTTGTTGCTAATCTGTAGGTTTTCTTTTCACCCTGTTGGAAAAAAGTTTTTGATGTGCACAGAGATTTAATCTTTAGAAGGTCCCCTCTATCAATTTATCCTCTTCAGATTATGCATTTCTGGCTGTATTTGGCAATCTCTTTATACCATGGACTAGGGCTTATGAGTGATCATTTGAAACACAATGTGAATGTAGGAATATGTGAAATGTAAGGTACATGAGTGAGACACAGTGTATAGAGATTTTGTATGCAACATAAAATAAAAATAAAGTGGATTTATCATCAACAGTAGTCTAGAAGTAAAACAAGTGAACTGTTTTGAGGAATGCAATCCCGGGGAAGGTTCAGATCTATTTTTTCCACTTGACAGAACAGAACAACAACAATAATTACGAGAATATTGTATTTGTATTAAATATCCTATTCACTACTAAATTGTGTAATAAAGTAAGAATTCAGGAAAAAAGCTAAAGTGGAAAAAAAAAGAGACTCATCATACTGTAGCATGTATCACGATTTCATTTCTCCTACTGGATAATGAGTATTCTGCACCTGGTACATTTTTTAAAATAGATTTTGGTACAATAATTCACATATATTATGCTTTATATAATTAATTATTATTGTTCAATGCCTTTTATCACCCTGTTGTTGTTGCATACTATCAAGTCTGAACCAATTTATAGCTGACCCTCCAGTGGATTTTTCAGAAGCAGTAAATCTTACTGGAAGAGATTGTCCATCCTTCTCCCTTGGAGCAGATGGTAGATTTGAACTTCATGCTTTTGGGATTGCAGCACAGCTCCTTGCCACTAGGCCACCAGAGCTTCCTAATTTATCACTTTGTTGTTGTGTACCATAGAGTTGGAACTGACTCACAGCTAAGTCTCTGCCGGGTTTTCAGAGGCAGTTAATTACACCGGAGGAGATTTCCCATCCTTCTCCTAGAGAGTAGCTGGTGGGATTTGAAACACATGTTTTTGGGATTCCAGTGCAGCTTCTTGCTACTAGGACACCAGAGTCCTAGTTGCCCTCTTATTTTCATTGTAGCGGTCTTATCCGGTGTTTGTCCTATTGTGACTGACCTCATTCAGCATGATGTCCTCTAGACTTATCACATTGTCTAGATTTCCTTGTTGTTCTTTTACGCTGCATTATATTACATTGTGTGAATGTACCACAATTTCTCTATTCATTTGTTTGTTGATGGGCATTTAGGCTATACCCACTTTCATGCTATTGTGAATAACACTGTAATGAACATCTTCTACTTGTTGTTGTTAGGTGCCACTGAGTTGAATACAACTCATAGTGACCCTATGAGCAACAGTTCTGAACCCTGTCCCACACTGTGCCATCTTCATCATCTGACACATTTGAACTCATTACTTCAGCCATTGTGTCAATCTATCTGGTTGAAGATTTTCCCTTTTCACTGTCCCTTCACCTTTCCTAGATTGTGTCCCTCTACAAGGAATAGCCTCTCTTAGCAACATGCCCAAACAATGCGAGATGAAGCTCCATCATTCTTGCCTCCAAGGAGCACTCTGGGTGCACCTTCACCAAGACATCTACTTGTTCTTTTGGCAATCTGTGGGATATTCAGTACTATTCTCCAACACAACTCAAAGGCATCAATTCTTTGTCATCTTTATTCATTGTCCAGCTCTCAGGTGCATAGCAAGTGTCTGAAAAGAGCATGGCCTAAATCAGGAGCACCTTAGTTATCAAACTGACAACATTGTTCTTCAATAATTTGGAGACGTCTTTGACTAGAGGCTTTCCTAGTGCAATATGTCTCCTGATCTTCTGACTGCTGGTACCAAGGGTGCTGACTGTGGATCCAAGTTAGATGAAGTCATTGACAGTCTTAATCCTGCCCGCATTCATCATGATGTTGCCTATTGGTCCAGTGGTGAGGGTTTTTGTTTTCTTGACATTGAGTAGTATTTTACCATTGAACAGATGCCTAAGGAGGTGAATGAGGTATCCTGCCTGGCTTTGCTGGAGGATCCATTTTTTTTTTTTTAAATTTTTATATTGGTTTACTCACAAAGTTCATATACATTGTTTTTCACAGTAGATCTTTCCCCTTTTCTTTATCCATTCCTCCCTCCACCCATCAAATTGTGCGACCCTATGATTAAGCTCCCTCCTTGGGTCCTCATAACTCATTCTACAATAATGGTCTTATACAGTCTTTGTCTTTTTGAGACTGAGTTAGTTCACTTAGCATAATACCCTCCAGTCCCTCCCAAGTTAGGTAATAATTTACAAAGTCATTGTTCCTGCATGCTGCATAGTATTCCATTGTGTGAATGTACTATAATTTCTCAATCCATTCCATTGTGGTTGGACATTTGGCCTGTTTCTATGTTCTTGCTATGGTGAATCTTGCTGCTATGAACATTGGCATACAAGTCTCTGTGCCTCAGTTCTCATCTTCTTAGGGTATATTCCAAGCCATAGAATAGCTTGGTCATATAGAATTTCTGTGTCCAGCTTTTTGAGGAAATGTCAAACTGCCTTCCAGAATGGTTTACAATCCCATCAACAATGTATAAGAGTTACTATCTCACCACATCTTATGCAGCGTTTATTACTTGCTGCCCTGATAAACTTTGCCACTGCTACTGGAGCAAGATGGCATTTCATTGTGGTTTTGATTTGCATCTCTCTTATTGCTAGTGATTTTGAGCAGTTCTTCATGTGTCTGTTGGAGGAGGACTCAATTTTAAGCTGGGAAGGTGCACATCAACCCTAACAAAAGGAGACAAGGGCAGCATCAGCCAGAGGCAACACAGCTTACCTTCATAACTCCTGAAGGATTCAAAGAGCTCCACCAAGGATTGTGTGCCCAACTGCTCATGGCAGTTGGATGCCACCTGCACACATAGCTGGAGGTTCTGCCTGGCATTTGCAGACAGCATAGCATGAAGACACTCCAAAGAAGCCTCCACGGACAAGGAGCTGAAGAAATCCACAAGCCACTGTGAAGCAAGAAAGTGTGCCAACAACTGTGCATAACTGTGCCCCTTACCTTCACTACTTTATTCTATAACTTGTGGTGATATATACACACCAAAACATCAGCCAACACAATTTCCCCATGTACAGGTCAGTCACATAGATTACATTTTATATACATCATGACACTATTATTACTATCCTTTTCCAAAATATAAACTCAGGGCTTCCCAAACAAAAAGTCCCCTTTCCCTCCCACCTTTAGTTGTTATTGCTGTGTGCCGTGGAGTCAGAAATGATTCATAGTTGATCGTCCAGCAGGTTTTCAGAGGCAGTAAATCACATAGGAAGAGACTGTATATCCTTCATCTATGGAGTAAATGGAGGATTTGAACCATGTGTTTTGGGATTACAGCACAAATTCTAGCAAGTAGGCCACCAGAGCTCTCGCTGCCTCTAGTAATCACTGTTAATCTTTGTTTTCTATATATGTGGCTAGCTAGTTCACATTAGTGAAATCATTGTGCATTCTTTCTTTTTTTAATTTATTTTTTCCCATTGTGCATTCTTTTTTTTAAAAAAAATTATTTGAGTGTAAGTTTACTAATCATATTGGGCTTTCATTCAATTATTCAAAATTTAAAAAATTTTTTTTCACATTTTATTATATTTTGTGTGTGTACCATCAAATTGGATCTGACTGGTACAGGAGGAGATTTCCCCTCCTTCTCCAGCAGAGCATCTGGTGGATTTGAAATGTTTTATTTTAAAACATGAATTATGACTGATTAAAGTAATTACAATGTCTAACTAAATTATTTTATTTCCTTTCCCTTCACTCAGCTTCTCACCCTCCTTCCATCGTATCCCTATTAAATCCCCAAAATAGATTCTGGGTGTAACTTTTCTTTAATTCTTCTATTATGATTGATTTATTCTGAAAATTTTGTTCTAGGTTCATACATATTGTGCAGTATTCACAGATTCTTGATCTGCATGAACAATAGTTTTAGTGATTTATAAATAATGTTGCAGTAAGATGACTGTATGTCAGTTTGTATTGCAGCTTGTCTTTTTTTTTTGAGAAAATGTGTACTTTATTTGGTATTAACAGGTTTGAACATACTATTTTTTAAAAATTTCCATTCATTCATTGCTACACATTTTCCTCCTGTCCTTCCTCCTCTCCAGTTTGGTTTTTTCCTTTGGGGAAAAAAGTCCTTTCATTGTTACAT